AAACTAGACCTCACGAAAATTGAGGTCAACAGGGAGTTCTATAGAAAGCTTATATTGAATAAAAATGATGGTGTATTGCAAGATCTGATTGATTAGGGTTTGAGTTTTTTGTACCTCTTATATTATTTCCCCTTTTATGTCCGCAATAATACTTTTCGTACTTTTTTTTTTCCTAATGCATTATAGTTAATCTTGTTTCCGCACTCCTAACACTGCCGTTGCCGGTCCCAAGCCCGGATGAGAAAAGTGGAGGGTTGCGTTAGGTAGTTAACAGCCAGCGTAAAACTTGTCGAAAAAATCATGACATGAATCCTTTTGATCATTGTGTAAGTGCTAGGGCGTCCCCTGGAAGCGACACGCTGTATAGCCTGAATACAGTGAAAAGTGTGCAAGGGCCGCTACACCGGCGCCCGGGTGTAGTGTTAAATAAGCAAGGGTTCCCACATTACGGGCGAATGCGGGTAAAGAAGTTAGTCCATGAAACTAATGAAACTAATATTAGGATAGGATCTTGGAATATAGGCACTCTCAATGGTAAATTAATAGAATTAGTTGATATTATGATTCATAGAAAAATTAATATCTTATGTATTCAAGAAACTAAGTGGGTGGGAGAAAAGGCTAAGGAGATTGATAATTTAGGTTTTAAACTTTGGTATTCTGGTAAGAGTCGCACTAGAAATGGTGTAGGTGTAATTATAGATAAGAGTTTGAAAGATAATGTTGTAAAAATTAATAGAGTTGGTGATAGAATTATAGCCCTTAAGATTATCATTGATACTAAGATTTTTAATATTATAAGTGTTTATGCTCCTCAAGTAGGTTTAGATTTAGAGTCTAAAGATAAATTTTGGAATGACTTAGAAGACTTAATACAAATGATACCTCTTGAAGAAAGAATTTTTATTGGAGGAGATTTAACTGGACATGTCGGTAGAGTGGTAGAAGATTTCAAAAATATTCATGGTGGCTACGGTTTTGGAGTAACTAATGAAGAAGGTAAAGTTATTTTAGATTTTGCTTTAGCGTTTGATTTTGTTATTACTAATACTTTATTCAAGAAAAGGGATGAACATCTTATTACGTATAAGAGTGGATCTAATAAAACACAAATTGATTATTTTCTTATGAGAAGAAGAGATCTTCGTGATTGTATAGATTGTAAAGTCATTCCAACAACAAATTGTCATGCAAGCTCTAAAACTTGAGAAATTTTGTGTACGTAAGACGTACGCAGTGCAACATATGTCATGGAGGTTATTCAGAGGGTATTGAGGGGTTATATCTGTGTTATACCCCCTGTAAGCTCTATGTAACTTATATGTACCTTCTAGTAAGTGTCGCACTTTTGTTTTCATATATTTATAAGTTACAGAGAGTTTACAGGAGGTATAATTTAGATATAACCACCCAATACCTTTTAAATAACCTTTCTTACGTACGCTGCATACATCTTTAAGCACAAAATTTTCTCCTAAAACCGGCTAGGTACACTTTAGTAAATATCCAGTTAGCAAGGGGCAATTCTACACAAAAATACGGGGGCTCTGGATAGTTTGCTTCCAGGAATCCACTTCCGCGTCTTCCCAACTCTTACCTTCAGCGCAGAGTAGTTGATGGTAATGGCCGTCTGGTAAATTGTCTGATACTGCTTTTTTCTTCTTCTTGGTTTATTTTTGTTTGTTTTAAATCTGTAGAAGAATCCGTTCCTAACCTAATCTCTCTTTTCTGTCAATATCTCAAAAAATACATAAACATAATAGGTTTCTGGAGATTTGAGTTGATTATTTAGGGAGATTTGGCTATGTGATTCTAGTTTAAGGATTCTATCGGCAACGGCATCTTTAATGAGATATCCTCACTGTAGAAAACCATATTCCGAACGTTTTCTTTTCGTTTTAATATGAAAACAATTCAATAGGGAATATAAAGAAATGTGTTTACTGGAAATGCATTTTTACCAATATTATGATTTGTTGGTATATGTGCTGCAATATCTATAAGTTTGCTTATTTTCTGATTGAAGATCTGGGTTTTGATAGTAGCAGGGCAACTAAACGACTCCATTTTTGTTATTATAGTCTTATTTTCATTTGCATTTCTTATCATTTTACCACCTATGATGTATGATACTGATTGTTTAGTAAACTCTTATAGCAGTTTCTCATGATCATAAAGGGGATATTCAGAAGGTATGAAAGATGGAATCCTGTGCACCCAACAATAGGTTTGTTTTGGGGCGTGGGGGTTGGCATTGGCTGTGGCATTGGATGGGGTCCTGGGTTTGGTCCTGAGGTTATTGGCTACGTTGGTGCTGGCTGTGGTATAGGCTTTAGTGTTGGTGTCACTGTTGCTGGGATTGGGATTGGCCTTCCAGTGAATGGAGTTGAGCAAATCCCACACAATGGTAAATTTTTGCTTTATTTGTTCATGCTTTAAATCATGAGAGATTATGCATTGACTTAGATGCCCTTGAATTTTCTCTGATTTTGTCCACGTTTAAACACTTGATATTATTTGTTGAGTTTTTTATTCTGAGAAGAAACTTGAGCTAGAGAGATTAATTTGCTCTTTTTAGTCTCTGTTTATGAAAGGGTTGCTTTATGTTTCATCTCTTTAGAATGAAATTCATACATTGAGAAGTGATTTCTTATGTTTTCTTGGTTTATCTTGCATCCTTCTGCTAATCTTTTTCTCTTACGAAGCTCAGGATTATATCAGATTCATTTGAATTCTTAAATTTCTAAAGATATCATATGCATTCCATTCAGTGGAAGTGGTTTTAATTTTAAACTGAAAAGATGAATGATATACTTGAAGCACAAATTAGATAGACTAAAAATATGGACAATGAGAATAGAAAGGTTGAGCTACTAAATCACAAGTAGTTTTCTTTTTGAACTTTTTGAAGGAAATAAATTATTTTTGCAAGTTTTGTAGTGTAATTTTACATAAAAGTTTGGGGTGCAATTTATATATAATAGTAGTTATGGATAGAATAAAGTCGTCTTAGATGGTTTGGTCATATTAAACGTCGACCATTAGATGATCCGATTAGGAGAGTAGATGTTTTAAATTCGACTTGTGTTAAGAAAGGCAGAGGTAGACCTAGGAAGACTTGGGCTTATTGTATTAAAAATGATCTTAATTTACTAGAACTAAATGAAAATATGACACTAAATAGGACGCAATGGAGAAAAAGGATTCATGTAGCCGACCCCACGTAGTGGGATTAAGGCTTTGTTGTTGTTGTTGTTGTTTCCGCACTCCTGTGATGTAAGACATTTGATTTCTCAGTTGTTTATTTTGTGAATTTCGCTCCCTAGATGCCTTCTCTGTGCTTAGATTTCATATGTTGATATGTTAATTTTCTTGCCTTAATTTACTTCTACTTTGACCCGATAGAAAATTATAATTCCTTGTGATTTAGGACTTCTGACGATTGTCTAGAAGAACAAGTTTAACACAGAATAGTCTAGTGTAATAGTCCTAGCGAAGAAGTTTTTTATTTCCAACTTCCAATCTATTGATGCATTAGGGTCGTGGAGCCCCCCAAGTATGATCATGATGATTGTCTTATTTCGGAAAGAGCTTTAGTAAGATATTTCCTATGATGTAGTAACAAATATTTCTATTTCAAAATTCTTCAATCTCAGTTCATCTTGAGATGAGCGCTACTCCTTTTAGTATATCAAAAATATCATTATTGCAGTATTATTTAGCTAATCTCGACAACTTTATTATAGCAAATTTGACATTGCAAGTCATCCATCTTTCGCCTAGCTATGAAGTTTTTCATTTCCAACTTCCAATCTATTGATGCATCAGACCCTCAAATATGGGAATATCGAATTTGATCCTTTGATTATGATCATGATGATTGTCTGTGGAACGATTTCAACCAACTAAAAGGTCACTATGTGGGGGTGGGAGGGGCTATCTTATGCTGTTCTTGTTTTTAGTGAGGAGGATTTTGATCAAGAATTTTTGCTTCGAGCATGACATTGGTAAGTCAAGATAGGAGGTCTCTCAGCCCATGCAGGATCGATGGGCTGTGTAGAGTTGCCTAAATTCTCAAGTAACTTCTTAAGCAACCTTGAATCAGTACTAATAGAAGCTGGAAGATTTTCTGATATGATAACTGATCCACTAATATATCTGCCCTATTTACACCTATTTGTGCAAATGAGTTTTTAGTTCATTGTTTGAATGTGGCCATTTCAGTCTCTATCCTGTTGGTGTTTTGCTTAAATTCAGTTACTAAAGTGCTATTTTATCATAAAAAATCAGGATACTAGTGATTTGCTCTTTAAATTGATCATTTTGGACAATATACTCCTTGCAAATAGTTGTGTTGTTGCATGCAAGCGCAATCTGACATGATATCTATATGCTATGCAAAAAGGTTTACTTTAAACAGTCATTAAATCATGTCAATACAAAAATAATCATTTTTCTTTCACTTGGAATAGTTTAATTCTTTTTAAATATATGGAGATTAATTCAGTTTGAGATCACATAGTAGTTAGCAGGAGAATTTTAGTGGTAGGAAAAATTTAAAAAAAATTAATATTAAAAAATGGAAAATTAAAAATAGAAATTGTAAAATGGGCAAATTCGTCTGCCACGGGGCAATTTATTATTCTCTATTCGATTATTTTTATTGCCTTCTTCCTTCCCCACTCATCGAAACAAGCTTGAACAAGTTCACCGGTGGGCTTCGACTTCAAACAAATTGTTCTGGTTCTTGTGAATCTAACAGCAAGCAAAGAGTTCTCAAGGGTGGAGAAAGGCATTGGAGATGGAGTCAAGACGGTTAAAAATGGAGTTTTGAGGAAGAAGGTGATTATACAGCAAGCAAAGAGTTCTCAGTGCCACATGGCAGATTCAAGAAGGGGAGGAAGAGCAGCCACATGTCACAGTCATCACGTGGCACACAACTTTGCCCATTTTACAAATTTTATTTTTAGTCTGCCATTTTTTAATTTTAATTTTTTAAAAAATTCTTATTTGAAAGTTTTCTTTAGTGGAATTGGTTCACTTCCATGTAAATGACACCTAGTAAGTTGCTGCACTATGTCTCGAATAATTTTTGTGGAGATTAACTAATTAGTTGTTCATACAAAGTTAAATATGCACTTATCCTACATCAACACTGATTATACTTTATCATAATAGAGTGAAACATTGAAGAACTGTGATTTAGGTGCAAGGAGAAGGTCTCTCTATAGTTGTGAATGTGAATGGTCGGTGGTATGTGACAAGGGAACAACAGTCAGCTGTGTACAGAGAGTAGTGATTGAAGCGTTCGGGCATGTTGCCGGCGTGGTGAGTGGTAGGTTATGACAAGCAAAAGTGCACACATGCTGTAGTAGATTGTGTACAGGAGTAGAGAGAAATGCAAGCAAATTCAATAAAGAGATGATTTTATAGGAGGGGCGCTCTAAGGAATTCTGTTAATTGAAGAAGTTTGCTTAGGGGATTGATTTTATGGTGAACATGAGGTATCAAGGTCATAATATGTGAAGAACACATGCTTCAGGTGCTATTCATGGTAGTCATTAGATTATGGATCAATTTTCATGTGAGTAGATTAATAGGTTGGCAACCAAACACTTATGAGAGGTCACATGATCAAGAGCACTACAATATTTGATTTGCAAACTTATGGTGCAGATAAAGGCTCATGATGCAATGAATTTGCAAATAGATGAGCACTAATGCTAAAATTGGTGAAGGAGCATTACTTGCACACAACTTGTTAGCCACAAGTAATTTGCATTCATTTAATCAACAACAATATTAATATTCAATTTTTCTTCATGGATCTTTTTTATAGAATTAGAGTTACATTGATCAGTGTAAAAATTTAATTGTAAACCTAATCCCATCTAATTCCAATAGATGTTGAAATTTAAATCTACCTTTTATCAAAAAAGAAGATAGAAACCTAATAAAATAATTAAAATAAAAAAAATAAAGGAAATTCTGTCATAGTGAAATGGGCTTAAAAGGCTTGAAAATGAGTTTGATTCATATATTTTTAACCTAGTTTAACTTATTGTAGTTGACCTATGGCCACTTAGGCTTTTGTGGATTGATTTGATAATTTTGAGGGTTTATACTGCATCAAAATCTCTAGAATGCTTATCCAATTGATCGTTTCAAATTCATTAGTTCATCTTTGTTGCTCATATCTAAACAGTGCTTGGATTTTCATAGTTTTATATTTTCTATGATCATGATCATATAATCGTAGTATTGTCATTAGCCTTCTTCTAACTATTTGGGTTTGGGCTTTTATGATTGGTAAAGTGCTTAATTGGCATTCTTTTGTTTAGTTTTGCCAGAGTTAACTCTTATTTAAAAATGTTTGCTCAAAACCCTAGTTTTATTACTTTATGTGTCTTTTTTTTTCCTTTTACGTAAATGCAGTATTCTCTTTTTGATAGAGTGTTTTGATGAATTAATTTTAATACAGGTTCATCCATGTGGCCAGTATCGTAAAAATACGATCATTGGGATTCTCCAGGCAGAACATGACTTTGCCCCTTTGTTTCGTATCCTACGTTGGTTCAAAAAAAATAAATTAAAACTATTCTTTGATTTTCCTAAGTCAGTTTGCATTGATGGGTTGATATATTTGGTTTCCTTGCTTATTCAAGTTATTGTTTAATATATATGTTGGCTATCTCAGTCATGCTTTGTGCTTCTTATCTTCAACCTTCTTCACTAGCTATTCATCGGCTTGATCGTCTTGTTTCGGGTCTACTTATTTTTGCTCGAAGTGCTGACAAAGCGGAGCAGTTTCGGCAACAGGTAACAAGGTTTGATTTGCATTTTAAGTTTGTTGATATTTTTTATTTATTTTTTATGAAATGATTAATGATACTTTATTGCTAATAATTAAAATATATGCATAATGGAAAGCCCCTAATCCTGTTTCAATGCAAAGATTAAACTTTGAACTGTGATGCCTAAGTTTCATGAGTATATATTTAACTAGCCATACGTGCCCAAAATGCACATAATTGGGTTAGGCTATGAATGGCCTTAGTCAAATAAATTACAATTCCAAATAGACTTAAATTTAAAAATACTTTCGGCATGTATGACACAACTCTTAATTTTGGTTTTTTTTTTTATTATGGATCTTTTTTTTGCTTTTATTTTGTTTGGTTTGTGTTTTTTGTATCGTTCTTGGAGAGCATGACTGGTGGTGAAAAGAGGTGAAAAACCAATGAGTACTGCAGTTGGAATGGAAAAACAGTAATGTTGAGTAGAAAAACCTGGAGATGAATGGGTTGGAGAGGACGAAACCGAATGTGGAAGCTTCAGGTTGGGTTGAAAAGGGGTTCTTGCACCACTTGAATGGTTCACTCAATTAAGATACAATGCACCACTTGAAAGAGCATACAACACTCCAATCTTAGAGACAATAGCAATTTTATTCTCAGATTTTATTCCATTCTGAAACTACTCCTTTACAAGTCCAAACCACTATTTATATGCAAGAGAAAAACCCAAACTCTTGGATAACCAACCCATAAATACAATGGTTTAAAAAAAAAAACCCATAAATACAACGGTCGAACCAGGTGAAGGGAAAAGAGCCCTACCGAAGGTCCAATTGTTGGGCCTGGACTTGACTACCGGATTGGGAAAACCCGACACTCCAGTGTCAGTTTGATTTGAATTAAAAATGTTTGTCGGACGTAGTTGTTTTTTAAGAATATTGAAAACATGTAAAGGTTATTTTACATATTTTAAATAACAAGTTAATCTGTTTTTAAAGATTAAAAATAAAATAGGTGAAAAGTACACTAATATATGTTTCTAAAAATAAAATTGAAAATAAATAAAAATGAAAATATAATTGATCCGAAATAGGCCCTAAAATAAACATGAAATAGGAAGTCAAAATGGTGTATTATGTTCTTATTTGATTTGCATAACCAGTTTGATTCAGCAATTGTTCTTATCATGTTTTATGATTTCAGTTAAACTTTTATTTTTGACTTATTATTTACTTGAGTTAAATTGGTCCCGCTTATAATTTTGTTCTTGTTTCTAGGAGTATTGAGTAAAATCATTTTCTATTTTAAAAAGAATGTCTCATAATTTTTATAGTCCTGAATAAAATTTAAATCAGATATCCAATGTTTTTGCTACTTGGGAGCAATTTTGGTAAGGATTAATTATTGAGTAATTAGGCTACCATTAAATTTTAAGAAATTTGAATAATAATGAATGTGTTGGCTAAGTTTTTCTTACTTCGTAAAGTTTCAAGTGATTCTGTAATAGTATTACAAAATATTTATAATTTTCAAATTGTGTATGAAGATTTTAATATTCAATACATGTTTTTGAAAGATCTGAATGTAATATTAAAAAAATATAGAAATATGATAGACTTTATTTATGGAATGAAATGTGTTGTTTTACTATTTTGATACTCAACATAAAGTAAAGTTGAACACAATTTTGATTTACCTGTGTTTGTGATAAAAGAAATAAGAGTAAAAGAAATGAATTAAACAAATTATCGAAGATGACTCCTGAAATTTTTATACTAAGAAGTCAAATACTTCTTCAGTTTTTTATAATTAGTAATTTTTATAATTGTTTAATACATTGAAAGTCCTTGTATGGAAATGTTTTTGTGCGTGTTATATGATAGACGACTCAGTGGAAACTATGAAAACAATTGAAGGACTTGTTAAGAATTAATCAATACCGAGTCAAATAAACACCTTCTTTTTGGAGGAACTTGATAAGCTTAAGCGTAAGCTTTCTAAGCTTACAAGTTAAATGAGAAGCATAGGCTTGTAAGTTTTCAAACACATTAAGCTTCTTCCTGATCTTAATCTAATAGTCAGCAATTCCAACACAAGTTAACAGAACTTTGAAGCACGAATTTTAGTACACTGCTTATTATTTTATTGCATTCATTTTTAGGGACATTTACATACATAACACACAATTCTTATGTATTTGCACCTAAACATTCATATTTGCATATATAACACTCAAATCAGTAACATCACTACTTTTTTAAAAGTGAAATACACCTTTTCATGCGTAGGTTTGTGACTCCATAGTGTTATAAATGTAAATATCAAACTTTGGGTGTTTGATATGTAAATACATAAGAATTATGCGTTATGTATGTAAATTTTGCTTATGTTTATTATCTTGGTGTTTACACTTTTGACATGGTCAGTGCTTTAACACATCCTGAAGTAGTTGCTTTGATATAGATTGATGCTGGCTTACTCAATAAAGAGTACATTGCGAGGGTCATTGGGATTTTCCCTGAAGAAGAGGTATTTAAAAGTTTCTCAATTCTACACTTTTATCAATCACTTTCATTTGACAAATATGATAAACTTTTCGCCCTTTTCCTAGTTGGATCATTTTTATTTATCATACCTTTCAGTGCTTTTCACATCCAATAATGCTTTTTACAAGTTATCATTTCTTGTACGAAAGGCAATGAATAGATTTTTTTTTTATAAATATATTTGCATAAACCCAATATCTTTTCCTAGGCGTCGCTAATGGTAATTGACAGGAATCTAATTGGTCCATCAAAATGAAAAACTTGGAGAGGAACTGCACTTTTGTTTGATAGTTTTCAGGAAATAGTCTCAAGTACCTCTTGTAGGGGGAACAATTTTACTTTGCTTGAAAGGAAAAAGCCCCAATAACAACACAGCAAGCCTTTATTCCACTAAGTGGGGTTGGCTACATGAATCTTTTTTCTCCATTGTGTCCTTTTGAGTCACATATTTTCATTTAATTCTAATAAATTAGGAGCATATTTTATAAAACATGCCCAAGTCTTTTTTGGTTTGCTTGTACCTTTCATAACATAAGTCGAATCTAAAATATTTACTCTCCTAACTAGATAATCAAATGGTCGACGTTTAATGTACCCAAGCCATCTAAGACGACTCTCGCTAAACTTGTCTGCCACATTAGCTACACCAACCCTTTCATGGATAAATTCATTTTGTATTTTATTTTTAAGTGTAAAAAGCCACTCATCCACTTAAGCATTCTCATCTTGGCAACACTTAGTTTAGTTTTATGCTTTTCTTTTATAGGCCAACATTTTACGCGATGAAGCATTACAGGTCTCACCAACATCTTATAAAAATTTCCTTTAGGTCTAAGCGATACTTTTCTATCACACAATAGGCCCTATGCATTCCTTCATTTCAACAATCCAACTTGAATTATACTAATAACATTCCCATCTATATCACCATCACATTGAACAATAGATCCAAGATATCTAAAATGATAACTTTTTTTAATAGTTTTATTACCCATTGTTAAAACTCTACCGCTAGATCTACCACTACTAAAATTCCGTTCGATGTATTTTGTTTTTGATTTATACAAACGAAGGGGCTTTTAAAACCTAAAGTTGACCTCTATAATTCAAGTTTCATGTGAACTTAGGATATCATCAGTGAAAAGCATACACCGAGGTACATCCTTTTGTAAATGTCCAATAAGAGCATCCATAACTAAAGCAAAAAGATATTGTTTTAAAGCTGATCCCTGATGTAATCGAACTGAAATGGAAAAATACTTGGTCAATCATCCTTCTGTTCGAACACAAGTAGAACACTAATATACATATCTATAATGACTTGAATAAAAGTCATATCAACTCCTTTTTTCTTAAGAACCATCGAAAAAACTTCTCTTAGAACCCTATTATAAGCTTTTCTAAATTAACAAAAATCATACATAGATCCTCCTTAGTTTCTTTGTACTTGTCTATTAAACCTCTCAATAAATGTATAATTTTCATAGTAGACTTGCTCGACATAAATTCAAGCTGATTTTGTGAAATCTTTGTTCACATCTTAATCTGTATATAATTTCTCTCTTCCATAATTTTAATGTATAACACACTAAATTAATTCCTTATAATTTGCACACTCTTTTGCATTTCCTTTATTCTTAAAAATATGGACCAAAATACTTTTTCTCCACTTCTCAAACATAATTTAGGTTTTTAAATAATATTAAGAAGTTTAATAAGCCAAAAAATTCTCAAATTTTTTAAATATTTTTATATTTCTATTGGGATACTGTCAGGTCTCACTGATTTTTCACCCTTAATTTTTCTTTAAATCCTCATTAACTTCCTTTTTACTAATGTGATTGTAAATATAAAAAAATTAATTATTATTAATGATATTGAGATCAATAAGGGGAACTATATTTTCAAAAATTTCATTGAAAAGTTTATCTAAATATCTCACCCAATATTGAATATCCTCAGCCAAAAAAAATAATTTTTTATTTTTATCTTTTATACACTTGAACCAAATCTTTACTTTTCTTCTCTTTTTTTTGACTAGTTTACATTTATCTTTCACACAATTTAATATCTAATCTATTTTAAAGATTAACAAAATCATAATTCTTAGCATTAGAAATTGTTCACTTAAACTTCCTATGGGGCACTTTATATTGTTTTCGAATTATCTAAACTTTTACATTTAAACCATTTTTTAGAACAAAATATATTATATTTTATCTTTTCTTGCATATTATTATTTCACCACCAATTATTTTTATTCGTAAAACCTTTTTCTTTTTTATTCTCCAAGTACATATTTTGTCATTTGTTTAATAGTGATACTTTATCCCACATAACATTAACTTATTCATGAACATCCAAAATCTTAAAATTTTGAAGTTTACTCATAAAAATAATTGTCTTTTTTAAGTGCCCAAATCTGATTCTATGATAATATTTCATTATATTTTCTTATCTTTCAATCATTCATCTTAAGATCCAAAACTAATAATTGATGTTGAGTGCTTAAATTTTTACTTGAAACTTATTATGATCATTATAATCTTTACATTCTCTTTTTCTTATTAGAAACTAATCAATTTGTTTTATTTGATCCATTCTTATAAATGATAATATGCTCATATGTTTTCTTAAATAAAATATTTGTAATAACAAACTTATAAGCTATAGCAAAATCCAATATGACTATCTTCTTCATTCCAAAGCTGTAGTCATGATGAATATTTCTAAAGTTTTCTACCACTCAACCAACATGTCCGTTTAAATCTCCTTCATTAAAAATTATTTTATTATGAGATCATTTAAATTATTTCATCCAAGTCAATCTAAAATTTTTCTTTTAAATATATATCTAAACCTATTTGAGCATAAACACTTATAACATTAAATATCTTAATATCAACAATAATATTTAGGGCTATAATTTTATCTCTGATTCCATTATTTTTTATAACATTATCTTTTAAACTCTTATATATGATTACACCGACACTATTTCTAATACGATTCCTATTTGAATACCCAATTTTAAAATCTAAACTATCAATGTCCTCAGCTATTGCTCAAACCCATTTAGTTTCTTGAATCTATAAGATATTTTTCTATGGACCATAATATCTATTAATTTCTTTAATTTACTTGTGAGATTACCATTATTTTAAAATTTTATCCTAATATTAGTTTCATGGACTAACTTCTTTGCCTATATCCGTCCATAATGTGGGAATCCTTATTTACACCCGGGCTCTATAGTAGCGGCCTTGCATACTTTTCACTGTATTCAAGTCATACAATGTATCGCTTCCAAAGGACGCCTCAATATTTACACAATGATTTAAAATAATTCTGGTCATAGTTTTTCGACGAAAAATTTATGCTAGTTATCATCTACTACCTTACTCAACCCTCGACTTTTCGCAATCCAGGGTTTAGGACACGCCAATGAATAGGCCAAGTCGTGAGCTTACCTAAAATTAGAAGGTGAGGAAAAAATTAGGAAGTTGCACAAATTTGTGTTTTCCTTGACGATAGAAAAGCCATGCTGCAGGAAAGTAATCTGGCTTACTTTGAATGTGTAACCCATTCACATAATCCTAATATAAAGAATAATGGCGGTGAAAAATTTTCAATAATTTGAATTGCTTTGTGACACTGAAATGGGCCCATTCCGTCATTTGCTGTATGTTCTCCTTCTATGATCTAGGATGAGTAATAAGTTTTGAGAGCTGTATTAATAATAAAGCAGTGGGCTATTTTGTGGGTTCTTCGATGCTATAAAGTTAAAAGAATCAAGGGTTTGCCTTGCTTTTGTGGATCCCACTCAAAATAATTTGGGTTTTTTTTTTTAAACATTGCATTTTGCTCCCTCCAGTCATAAGAAAGGAGGTCAGATTCAAATTGGGCTCTTGGAGAGCATTAAAGGTTCATTGATTTGGTGTATAGCTAGGAGGTATACATGAATTTTAATGCCATCCAAAGCTCTTTCAAGTTCATCAGAACCCTTGGGTCATGTATGAATCAACTCCAATAAGGAGGCTTCTATTGGTTCATTGACTGGCTTAGTAACCAAACTATCGACACTTGAAACTTGTTCTATTATCTCATGTTAGATCTAGCCTCATGATCATTTGAGTTAGCAATAAGGATTTTAGAGGGATTCTTGTCATGTTTCCTTTTCTTATTATATATGTGTAGTGAATTGTAATGCTTTAGAGGACACAAAATAAAAATCCTTCTCAAAATGTTCACATGATATCAGAGCTTTGAGAAACTTATATTGTTCGTGAGGCTGTAACCCTGTTCCGCCTGTGCTTGGTGATTGTTATTGTCATTCAAATAAAAATCTAACAAAGAGCGGCGAACCAAACTTCATCGTCACAATCAACGACAAAGGATCCATAGAAATCCTCGTCATTGTCATTTGCTGTGTAATAACATTAAAAAAATAAAATAAAATAAAAAAGGGTGCCGGAAGTTAGAGGAGTTGCACCCACTCATAAGAATCATAACACATGATCTTTCGCACTTCCACTTATTTGAAACAGATGGGCGAGCAAGAGGAAGAGCAGAAAGATCATGAGTGAGAATCTCTGTCGTGCCCTAGTCTAGGAAGGAAGTCGAAGGAGAAGAAGAAAAATGTAGGAGGGATTGAGCGACTTATCTGTGAGTGAAGGAGGTCGAAGGAGAAGGGAAGAAGCCATGCAGCCTTCTTATGTAGAGGAAGCTGTGACGGAAGGCAGAACTCTGCGTGCAGAGGAAGAGGAGGAATGAGATGCGTGCATTGCTTTGAGTAGAGCCACGCGACCGAAGCCATGAAGGAGGAACGACATCGTGCGCACTTTGTTGGGTTGCGCCGTGACCGAAGGAGAAGGGAAGTGGAGCTCTCGCTATATCGTGCGTGAAGTTAGGGTTGTCGAGCCGTGCATAGGAGAAGAGGAAGGAGATTGAGGGAGGAAGAGCAACATTTTTCTGGTTCAAGCA